ACTTGTGGTTACCGGGGGGCGGGGGGTAGAGGGTGGGAAGGGATAGACTGGGATTTCAAAATTGTAGAATAGATAAACAAGATTATACTGTATAGCACAGGGAAATATACACAAAATGTTATGATAAATCACAGAGAAAAAAATGTGACAATGAGTGTGTATATGTCCATGAATGACTGAAAAATTGTGCTGAACACTGGAATTTGACACAACACTGTAAAATGATTATGAATCAATAAAAAATGAAAATAAATAAATAAATAAATAAAAAATGGGTAGAAGACTTGAATAGACATTTTTCCAGAGAAGACATACAGATGCCCAACAGACACATGAAAAGATGCTCAACATCATTTATTATCAGAGAAATGCAAGTCAAAACTTCAATGAGATATCACCTCACACCTGTCAGAATAGCTATCATCAGAAAAACACAAATAACAAATGTTGATGAGAATGTGGAGAAAAGAGAGCCCTCATACACTGTGGGTGGGAATGTAAGCTGATGTGGCTACTATGGAAAACAGTATAGAGATTCCTCAAAAAACCTAACATAGAGCTACCATATGATCCAGCAATCCCACTCCTGGCCATATGTCTGAAGAAAACAAAAACACTAATTTGAAAAGATACATGCATCCTAGTGTTCATAGCAGCATTATTTACAATAGTTAATTTATGGAAGCAACCTAAGTGTCCCATGAACAGATGACTGGATAAAGAAGATGTGCTGTATATAAATACACAATGGAATACGACTCAGCCATAAAAAAGAATGAAATTTTGCCATTTGTGACAAAACGGATGGACCTAGAGGGGATTGTGCTTAGTGACATAAGTCGGAGAGTGACAAATACTGTATGTTATTACTTACATATGCAACCTAAAAAATAAAACAAATGAATGAATATTAAAAAAATAAATAAAAATGAGACATATGAAGTCCATGTAGAAACAAGAACAGTATTCTAACATTATGTGAAGGAAGTCTGACCATAAAATTTGGATTTAGCATAATGGTAACCATATAAAACACACACACACAAATGCTATAAGGGAGTATGTAAAAATGAAAAATAGTTGCAATAGTGGGATATGAGATTACTGCATCTAGACTTTGAAAAATTTTCTTTACTGCCTTTATAATTGAAAAGTAAATTTATTAAAATTTGGGAAAACTAAATAAAAAAGAATATATCAGAAAATTATTTGCTAAAAGAATTATTTGCTATGTGAGTATATGTGTTTATATATACACTCCCGTACATGGTATACATATTCATACACAATTTCTAAGGGAAAATAGTTATGTCTTTCATAGCAACTTATAATTTGTATGAGCATAAATAATAATAAACAAAAAATGTACTGTAAACTTAAGCTATTAGTATTCAACTTAATTTCTTTCATGCATAAATAGCTAGGAATATTTTGGTATAAAGCTAAAATGTGGTTGATGGGAAGTAGCTGGATAGGGAGTTGGTTCAGTAGAATTTATTAGAGAGTTTTGCAGTGGTGAGATAACACTCCATATTTCTTCCAGGCAAAATTTTAAAGGTAGTAAAGATCTCTGCAATTTCCTAGCACCAACATGCACTCACTGATACCCCTACCCCTTTTGGTACATGTTTTAAAAGGCATTATTTTCCTGTGATAATTTCTTTTCTCAGGGCAATTGACCCAGGTCTCAATTCACCTGGAACTACCATTTCTGTTTTGAACAGAGGTTCAATCTTCCTAGGCAATGATCCAATAAATGAGAATTCAATATCAGTTCATACCTTCTAACTCACTTACTTGGGCATTAAGATGACCACTTACGCATCATTTAAAGTTTATTATCATCTTCAGTTTCCTCTTCATCGAAATTACATGTACTAGTGTAACTAGGAACAGCATGAGCCCCATGCCTGGCAACTTACTATGTGGTAAGCTCATTGCTATCAGCTTTACCTATTGTATTTCTCAAGATTCTTTCAAATGCAAGCTTAATATTTAACTTACACAAAAATGAAGGGAATTTATTGGCTTACTAAACAGCAGAGTCCATGTATGAATTCAGACATAGCTGGATCCAGGGGCTCAAGCAATGATATTGGGACCACCTTTTAACTTTCATTCTATCTTTGTTTTGGTTTCATTCTACAGGAAGTCTCCATCTACATGGTTAAGAAGATGGATGCCTAAAGCCACAGATGCAGATCCTCCCAGTGGCTACATGTAAGTAAATATAATTATATATATAAATGAGTAATATATCATTATATGTCTTAAATCATTTGATACTCATAACAACCCTTATGAGGCAAACACATCTCAACTTTGGATATGAGGAAACTGGAACACAGAGAAGTCTAACTTTCTCAAGGTCACACAGCTCCACAGTGGTGGGCCCAGTTTCACAATCCAAAAAGTCTGACATTAGAATTGATGCTTTTTACTACTCCACTATACTCTGCTTGGCCAGTGTCTAAATAGAAGTACAGAGAAGGTCTTGATTGCTCAGCAGTATTTATGTCCTGTACTGGAAATGATCACTCTGTGGCTGGATCTTAAAATCATGCTGAGTGAAACACACCAGGTTAAAAGAGTTTACATAGAATTCTCAAAAATGGAAATTGATCTAGAATTACAAAGTAAATCAGTTGTTATCTGGGGCTGGGTGATATGAGAGATGGATAGCAAAGGGAAGAAAGAACTTCTGGGAAAATTTCCAAAATATCTTGAATTTGGTGGTAAGTTTAAAAGAATGTATATTAATCACATTTACCAAACTTTAAATATTTAAAAGTGTCTGGTTTATTGTATATAAATTATACCTCAGTACATTTGTTAAAAAAGAATACATGTATGTAACAAATCAACAGAGTTACAAGCAGTAGAAAACTGAGAATAAAAATAAAAATAAGGGAACAAGAAAACTACCATGTTCTGATCAGCCATTAAACAAAGAAAAAAAATTGGAAATGAAAAACATTCCCCCATACATAATATAGATTTGTAGAATTTATATAGGGATCTTCCATTGTCAATAATTTATAGACATCTTTGTCTTCTGCATTAACTTAGATATTAATTTCCCTTTTTTGACAAAATAATAAAACAATTTGAAAAATTTCTAACTTACTGTTCAAGGTACCAACATCGTAATGGGTTATTGGAGTTAGTTCTTAATAGATGGGTATATTCCCTTGGCCTAGTGTAATCATTCTCTAGTTCATAGTGAAAGGAATAAATTATAACAGATAAGACCATGAATCCAGCAGAGAATACAGTGTATCCAGCTCATAAATTTGTGCACACATAAGACAGTATTATAGCTGTAAAATATGTATAGTGGATCCACCTTTTCTCAGATCATGACATATTTACAAATTGTAATTTCCTCTAGAGATGTACTGTGACTAAATTATCATCTGCTTTTGCTCCAATGCCTAAAGGAAAGAAATACATCTAATTCATCTTGGTTTAGATTGTACTAGTGAAATATGTAAACTCAGTTCTTTTCCTGTAAATTTCATTCCTTATAAACATCAAAGCAAATATGGAAAATTGATCTTTACCAGTGTAGAATGCATAATCTGCAAACTTGGAAATGATATTAAATGCAAAACTGACTATTTTAGGAAAATCTTTGTCATGAGGTCACATTATCCACACTCAAGAAAATAAGATTTATACAAATTCCTGTAAACTAGTGGGTATTGAAATTTCTACAACAGGAAATCATGAATATATAATTATAGCTATGACTAGCTTCTTGTCTACTGAGGCCTATGCTAGCATGCAAATTTAGCTACTCAGTTAATTATACGGTAGGCACAGATTAGACACATATGGAGTGTGAATTTATGGAAAAAGAACATATTTGGTTTGAGAGAGAGTTCCATATGACTCTCTACAAAGCAGTGATTCACAGGATTTTACAAAGGAACTCAGGAGTTTGCTTATTCACATTCACCTCCCCTCCCCTTCTCTCACTCCCTACATTTCTAGCATATCTCCTACAACATGACAAATACATTAATTCATCATCTGAACTAACACTTCCCACGTGGGATAACTAGTGCAGCCAACATTTGAGTGCCTTCCATGTGCCAGACGGTAAGAGATTTTTATATTCATTGACATGGATAGAGTTTTTACAGCAATGTATTTTGTAACATAGTAACTCATTTACTCCGCCAAACACCATGTAAAGTAGGTGGTATTGACAGCATCTCACAAATGATGAAACAGCTTGTAATCGGTAGGGAAGGGAGTAAAATTGTGGTCATCTGTGTCCAGTGTCTGTGTTACTCTCCTGTACTACCCTGTCCCAGATTACGCTGTGCTCTTACATGTATTGTCATCATGTAACTCATACAATAACGTCATCACGCTCACTAGAGGCTGCTGTGTCCAGTGTGCAGAACACAGGACTTGGAATAAGGATATCAATACTTGAGATGTGGCCTTCCCATTTGCTGTATGATCTTATAACAAATTGCTTAGTCCCTCTTAGCTCAATTTTCTTATCTATCACATGGTGGCAATCACTGCTTTGCCTCTCATTTAGCAAAGTCCTAGAAGTTGAAGAAAACACTTGGTGTTAAAACACAATGTAATACAGCTATGTTTATTTCTTACCAGGTAGCCCATGTGAATAAGTAATTGTTTAAATATTGTTCTGAACAGAAACTTACCCCCCATAGGGGCAATGTTGAAACTTTGTTACTTTTTTTTTTTTTTTAGGGATTAGGCGCTCTGAACCCATCAGAGTTTTTAACTAAAGCTTCATCCTCTTATTTATACTCTCTGGATTAAGAGAGATGTCCAGTTTTAAGTATAATACTCCAGAAATGGCATGACCTGTATAGAGTATTGTGATTTGTTCAATTATTATTTTGCATTCTATCATATACATATCAGTTGTGCTGCATAACATTTCTATTAATGAAATAAAGCTCAAGTTTTTAAATATTTTGGCAGTCTCATCTGAGGGACAATCGATTTTGAACTTGTTGCCAATAGAAAAATCAAATTTTCTTTCATAGGAACTGCTGATGTTCAACTAGGTGTAGTTTTATCCCCCTTACAGATAATGATTTGGGTGGTAGGACAGTGTAATTTTGGGAAGGATCTGTATAGATTCTCAGTTTTATTCTGGATACTTAAATTTTTTTTTCTTATTTTTTGGCCACAGGCCCAAGTTTAGCCTCAGCAATGTGAATTGTAGAAATCCAAATAACTCAAATAGTCTTTACATAAATAATAAGTAGAAGGACTGCTTCTTTTTCCTCTTCTTTTTTTTTTTAACGGAGGTACTGAGGATTGAACCCAGGGCCTCGTGCATGATAAGCGTACGCTGTACCACAGAGCTATATCCCACCCTCCTGACTGCTTCTTATCTAGTCTTTTTCCTCCCTAATAAAGACAATGGTATTTATATGCAGCATCTTCTACTGTCTTCCAACCAGCAAACCATGAAGAGCAATAAAAAGCTAACTTTATAGCCAGTCATTTGCAAATTCTTCCATGTGTAATGTTTGAACTAGAGTCAAGGGAGTGAAAGGGGAAGCACATTCCATTTCTTACAAGGACAGCAGTAAAATTCTTACTACCTTTTAAATGGCTTGCCTACAAAGACTGTGCTTAGTGATAAACCATTTCACTTTCTTTTCCCTCCTTAAGAAATAATAAACTGGGTTTTCTTTTAGAGTTTCTTCTTTGCAGTTCTGGTGAGAAAATGTTCATTATATTACCATGTGACCATGCTGGAGAAAGCATCTCCAGATCCTACATTTCCTTTTTCGGTAAAGTCTTTAAGAATCACTACCCAATGTACAGAATTGCTCACTAAACCAACCTGAATTTTTTTTGTGAGATTTTAATGATTAACAGTAACACAACTTCTTTTATGCCATTAGAGACATGGCGCACATGACAGGAAGGGGGTATCTGAGGTGGAGGTTAAGTCTATGATTTGGCTGCAAATGATAAGGAAAAATCTCTGCTGAATTATTCAGGCTTATTCTCTTGAGAAAGATTCACCAGAAATGATAAACTACTATAAAAACCTAATGAAAATGGTGTACACAAATAGTTAAGAATATTTTAGAAATCATATATCCATTCAGAATAGCTATTAGCTCTGCTGTCGATTGGATGATAATATTCACAGTATCATATTCACTGAAATGATCAGAAGGAAACTGTGAAAAAATTATATAGAGTCAATCAAGATAGGATGGCAAATAAAATATGACCATATGGTTAATAATATAATTTAAAGGACTAAGCCTTTTTTAAAAGCTGCTGGCAAAAATTAAAACAAAATTCCCTTTTGTGTATTTGTAGTTGGAATAATGGTTCCATGCCCCAGCTCTTGGGGAATTTGGAACTATGTTACCTTATATGGTGAAAGCACTTTTCGGGTGTGATTAAATTAAGCATCGAGATGGGGAGGTTATCCTGGATTATCTGAGTGGGCCCAGTGTCATCACCAGGCTCCTTTTAAGGGAAAGAAGGAGGCACGAAAGTCAGAGAAGCTGTGGATGCAGAGGTCTGAGTGATGAAATTGCTGACTGTAATGATGAAAGGGGGCTGGGAGCTAAGGGAGCTGGAAAAAGAAGGAACAGATTCTCCCGTAGACCCTCTGGCAGGAACCAGCCCTACTCGCACCTTGATGGCAGCTCTGAGAGACTCATTTTGAACTTCTGGCCTACAGAACTGTAAGAAAATACATTTATGGTGGTGTTAAGCCACTAAGTTTGTAATAATTTGTTATAGCAACAATAAGAACCTAATGTAACGCAACATATGAGTCTTATTTTAACTCTAGAATATAAAATTCTTGGAATACTACACAAATCTCTGTGTTTGTTTTT